TTGCAAAACAATTTTTACTCTGCCACTCATTTCTCTTAACAATGCATTGGAAAAGGGCTATATTTCGGAAAGAAAATTATTGTTTCTATTATTATTCATTATATTTGATTACACAAACAAAAATGTTTTTGAAATGTTTTCGAATATAGGAAATTAATTTCGAATTATATCTTTTGAACTGCCTGCTCTCCTAAAATATAATCATAAATATAAAAAAACTATCTATACATAAAAAAGGATGTAACATAGTTTTTATTCTGAACCAAAACAATAGAGAATAAAAGAGAAATTAATATATAATTGCTTTAATATTGCTTAAAAATTAATTCGAAAACACCTTCGCTATATTTTCTTACACATAGAAAAAAAAACGTTTCCTAATAATATTGTCAAATTAATAGAAAAATATGTATCTATTACAAAAATACTTGCCATTTTAAACTATCTTTCAAGTACAAAAAGTTGAAGATTTTTTTCTAAGACGTGTTATTTTAGAACAGGTATTATTTTGTTTAGCAACAGCTGTAATCTGTTATTTGAAAATACCTGTTATTGCCCATCACTAAAACACAGAGCATATAACTCAGGGGGGGGGGGCGAACCTTTATGCACCAACGTGCCATTTTTTCTAAAAAATTGTTTAATTTGGTCATAGACGTGCCGTCAAACAATTTTGACTTCGTGATTATTGGGAAAATAATAACACTAAATACTATCAACTCATTATTTACTATGGAAAAGAATACATTTCGCAATGTCTCAGTTATACGCGTAATTCAACTTAAAGTAACATCAGTGTGACTTCTGTTGTTGCAGATTAGATGACAAATAACTTATATTAGGTTGTAAGATGTTATTTTAAGCAGGTGTGTTAATTTTTTTTGCTAGTTATTTATTGTTAGTTTGTTTTCTATGGTAATTAATTGTTTTTTGGCATTAATTGTAATTTTTCTGTTAATAATTGTTTATTTTTTTATGTTTGTTTTTGTGAATTTTAATTTAATTGGTAAATTGCTTCACAGTGAACTTCGTGATCGGTGGCGTGCCCAAAATATTCTGTGGCGTGCCATAAATGGCACGCGTGCCATTGGTTCGCCACCCCTGATATAACTTATCATAGTCGATCGACGCACCAGCGCATCATCGGCATACCAGGAGGTGACGCTCTGACGCTCCAGCGCGTCGGTGGCAGCGAACGTGTTAATATAATTTGATTTCAATATGATGCGTTTTTTTTCCATTCAATTTCAGAAATATTTTCGTGAAGAAATTAATATCGATACTTTAATTATGACTAGAGATATGTATTCAGATTTTTCTTTTATGTTTTTAATTGCTAGTGTTCTGTGTGAAAGAAATTATCCTTTTTTAAAGAATGAAAATAAAAACTGCCAATTAATGATGAAATCTTTTTAACGCAAGACCGTGAAATAATATCCTCCACTGTAAAGCAAGTTTAACGTAGGTTCAGTGTATAAAAATTTCCAATGTAATTTCTTTTTAATTTAATCAAATTTTAAATTAACGGATAATTAAACGGATACATATCTTAATGTATCCGTACCATTTTTTTGATTTGTTGTATAATCCTTGACGACTTCATACTATCAGATTACCGAAATACGAGTTAGAAGTTCAACATTATAAAAGTAAGATTAAATATCTGTATAGTATCATTCAAACTGTGATATTAAGAATGTACTGCAATTTTTTTCATGGCTTTATAGTTAATTTTAATTTTACTTACTTTTTTGTATTTAATTAGAGTCCAAATATATTGACTACGAAAATCGCAATTGCTCAAAATTGTAGATCGCATAAGGATCCATTTATTGATTTTGCATGTGTCAACAACACAGAACATTTTTAAACTAAATGGCTACATTTTACCTAGATTTACAGTGGTTTGTTAAAAGCACAAAAAAGCTCTTAAAACTTCTATTTTTGATGAAACTAAACAGTTATCATTTACAGTTAGTATCACGAAGAAAAAAAATAAGATGTGAAAATTTTTTTTTCATTGTAAGTGCCTTGAAATAATTTTCTTAGAGAAATCATGTTATTTTGTTTTGAAGTTCAGAACAATTAACAATATTAAATCATGATTGTAACTCCAATTATCTTTCAAATATTGCTAAAATGGTTCCACTACAACTTCTGGTCATTACTTTTTGAATCGTCAGGCATCTCTCCTTCTCCGTTCAACGCACAATCGAAATTTGTAGATAAGAAATGAAACTGGAGACTTTTCTGTTCCGCAGGTGGTAATTTCAAAGTATTTCTTATAACTATTTTAAGTAGAATGAATCCATTCAATATAATTGCAGTGGGACCATTTGATGAACGTCTTCACAGCTCTGTCATTGTCAAGTAATACAAAGTGTCATACCCACCTGAAAGTGATAATCTTATCAGTAAAAGAATCTCTCTCATATGAAAAGAATTCTAAAAGAGAAGCATTGCAATCACACCTGTCCAAATCACTCTTCTATCAGTTTCCAACAAAGTTATTTCTTGACGGTCATAGTGAAAAGAAGAAAGCATTCTTTTATCCCCCCCCCCCTAATTCTGGTTCAAAATCATTATTTTGCTTAAATATGTGTTAGAATGAGAGGCTCATGACAAAGTCTCATAACAATGCGTTTCATGAACTTTAAACACGCCTTGATTGATTGTTCAAATCAACTGGGTTTCTACTAAGATTTTATCCATTAAAATTTTAAAAATAAATATATATTTTTATACTTTTTTATTCAAAAGTATTCGATATTCTAAGATCTGCTGTGGTTAGATTAGAAGAAACAACAGCATACCTGCCAACTCTTCCGGATTTTCCCGAAGATTTTATTTTCATATTTAAAGTGGTAGTAATTATATACTATTTTTTCTTTGATAATCTTAATTTTTAAATGATATTGATCACCACTATTCTTACAAAAATTAAGCACATATATTAATATGCGCTACTATCATGGTTGTCAACTAAGTTTTCGCAAATACAACGCATTTGTTTGCTTAAAATTGAATTTTTAATTCCATTTGAATACCACTGGGAAAAATGATAATGGAAGGGATTAAAAGTTGGCAGGTATGCACCAGTGTTCAGAGTACTGGATAAATGCATACTGCTCAGTGATACTGAACCTTTAAAAAACATTGATGTAGGGCATACCGGGCAGTGGTAGTTAACTAGACCTAGAATATATTTCGAACAAATACCAAAGCGACTATGTGATTCTCAATATCGCCGGTGGAAGCAAGCAACCATGAATTTCGGTCATTCACAGTAGAATATGTATAAAACACTTTCAGATTTTTTCCTGACGTCGTACTCTATATTACTTGATTAATATGGATATAATGTAACCTTTAATAAGTATAAATTTATCCAAGTTTAAATAAAAAAGGAGTATTTCTACCTATCTTCAGTTATTATTTATAGAGAAAAGGAAACCCGGATATCTAAGAAACTGATGTAAAAGTTTATTTGAAAGAAAATAGTTTCGTTAATCAAATTAATTAAAATATTACCCCGTTTTGATTAATGAATTTCTAATAGATTTTTTATTAAATTAATTATTATATTTACAATTTGAATATTTATTCGATTTACACAGAAATCATCTGGGAAAAGGTCGGAGTAACAATTTCTATTTTCTAAGTATACAGCAATGTTAAATCTTTCTATTGTCAACTAGAAATCATTAGTAATTTTTCCTATCATAGAGGCAAAAAAGAGTGAAGACCTTTTACTTATTACTTTAGCTCTGTATTTTCAAAAGTGAGGTTTAGGATACCTAACTAAGCTATCTTATTTTTAACAAGAGAAAATTTTGTTTATTTCAGACCATCATATATATATCTTACCCTATTTTTTTATCACTTACAATTAAAATACAACTTACAACTTATTAAAATCAACACTATATTTTATCAGTGTTATGAAAAGGTACAGTAGAGAACCGATTATCCGGAACGATCGGGACTATCGCTATTCCGGATAACTGATTTTTCCGGTTTTCTGAATCGCTACAAAAAGCCGTTTTTTTAGTGTTAAACCCTGGANAACATCTTTCAAAAAAGAAAGAAAAATCCTAAAATCTTATGAGGAAAAAAAATTTTTTTTTTGAAAATGGCGGGAAAATTTATCGAATTTCGTTCCGGTTTTTTGGTTTTCCGGATAACGGGTTCTGTACTGTATTACAATTAATTTTATTTCTCATTTGTAAAAACCTGTTATGTTTCGGAAATTTGTTCCCAAATTTTTCTGTCATTAACACTTCTGCTTTTCTTGCAGTGTTGTGCAATGTTATTCAGTCTACAATCTGTAGGCAAAATCATCTTCGCTCTAGATACATAAAATAAATGAAATCAGTTGTAAATTCTATATTCAATTAAGCCATCAAGCCGTTAAAAAACCATATACAATTGATCTGAGTGAGCTAATAGAACATTCATATATTTTATTCATAAGTAGTTCTCGGTATAATTCCAAGTAATATGGTAAATTTGCAATTATAATAAAAAAATTTAAAGTGCCAGTGCGTTATTAAGTATCCTCTTTACTAAAGTTTTTAAAAATATAATTTTGAGTAGAGCATTGAATGGAGGCATTTTAAACATACTGAAATTTTACATTACCAAAAATATTATTTTTGGCAGCTTTTGACAGAATTATTTTTTTTGTTTTCCTTTTCACTAAGTCACGTTTTCATAATTGTGTATCTGCCTTAGCGTAGACTTTTTATTAAGTTATGATTTAAATATTGTTTCTCATAAATGCTACTAAAAATGCTCTTAAAAAAAATCTCCAAAAATATTCAAGGCCCCATTATAAAATACTATATAAATCTATAGAAAAGAAAACTGTTGCCCTCACAATTTTAAATTTATTCGTGTACTACATTTTCTATATAAATGTAAATAGATACTTCAAACAAACTAAAAACAAAAGAAGCAATCAGGAATAAACAATGCAATTGAAATAAACAAACAAAAAATAATAGCACACAGATTACATTGTTTATTGATATGCCGAAGAAATATTTCAACAGTGAAGCATGCAACAATGAAAATATAATCGTAAAGAAGTTCATTAGAAACCTTAACTTTTCGAAATCATAATTAAAATAATCAAGTCTTTTATCAAGTCAATTTCTTTTATAAAATACTTTGAAAAAAAAAAAATGATTCCAAGATAAAGTATTCATTCTATCTTGTAGAAATCTCTCAAAAGTAAATACTTCTGGACATGTTTGGGAATGCCTAGTTCCTCCACTCCTTCGGGCAATTTAAAGTTGTCTCTTAATCGGTTTCTGATGAAGAATCTTGAAAGGTGTTGCAGAGATCTTGGACGCCTAACAGAAGTTTCTTCATAATTCACTAGACTGCAGTAAAATTTCCATACGCTGTTTATATTCTGATAAGGTATAAGATTGATCCCCTCAAAAGGCCTAGAAATATCATCCATGGTCAAAAGGGGATCTGGTATGGAGCTCCAAAGTACTCGCACGACCATTTCGAGCTCTGCAAATTTACCGCGGTAAATAAACCGCAAATAAAGATTGAGAAGCTGAAGTGCACGAAAGTGGAGAGGATTTCCAGAAATATAATTCGCCTTTTCCACCCACGTATGGTTCTCCTGATCATTTAAAAACCTAAAAAGTAAAAAAAAAAAAAACTTTTAATTAAAAAGACTCAAATCTAATTTCTTAAACGCGTGTAAGAAACGTTACTCTGTTTCAATACATTCTAAAAGAGATCGTCAACCACGAAATTATAGTTGGTTCTGTTTCAAGGGGATCTGAGTTCAAAATTAAAGTAAGGATAGTCGAAAATCGAAAGGAATTGATGGTCCCAATTGTTTCGGCAGTATGAGCCTCCAATTCATTTAAAATTTCTAGAGATAGAAAATAAAGCATTTTGAATATAATTGTGATTTAAATCATTTGATTTTTTAAAAATAAATTTCTAGTTTAAATCAGCTGAGACTTTTCTGTAAAAAACATTAACTTAAACATTTCATAACATTTAATACTAATATACTTACTAAAAAAGATTATATTAATTTAGTTTTGAAATATTTTTTATATAATATAATTAATAAATACATTCTTAAAGGTGTGATTTTTTAAAAGTCAGATTTCATTGATAATGAATGTTTTTTTTAATTTTTTTTTTTATGGAAGCTATTGCTTTATTACGAAATAATAAAAGGCATATGCATTGAAATTACTATATTAACTCTCTCATTATTTCAATAAAATGTGTATTGATTTAAATCAAATGTGATTTTTTTAAAACAAAAAAATCAATAATTTAAACAAATTTTGAAAAATATACAATGATTGAGAAAAATGTATTTTAAATACAAAATATTTCTCTTTAATAAAATTAACAAATACGCTCTTCAGGGGGCAATTTCTTTAAATCTGATATATTGATAATAAGGATATTTTACTATCGAAATATCGAAGGGGATATGCATGTAAATTATTCTGTTTTAAAATCGTGTAAGTAATAATAAAAGTGATTTGAAACTTATAAACTGTAATTCTCCATTAATACATTTAAAATAATGAATTTTTTGACTAAAAACATATTTCAATTATGCCCATTTAGTTCTTTGCTATTTAAAATGCGGCGCTTTTATATCTTATTAAAAATGAAGGTAGAGACTTGGTCAATGTCATGGTCTATGTCATCAAGACTTGGTCAATCCAGAGTGACATAATTTTTTTTTAAATTTCTTATCTAAACTAATTTTTTCTTCATTAGGTATCCAGTTGACAAATTGTTTGGCAATTTTTAAAAATCATCAGCAAGTTAAGCCTGAAAAATATAACTATGATTTTTTTAACCCAGTGATTAGTAAGCTATAATATTACAATAATTCTATCCATTTTAATATGAACTAATAATTATTTTAATTACATTTCTTTTAAACGATATTAAGTCTTATTAAAATCTTTTATCAGATGCTTTAGATGGAGAACTTAGAAAAAAAAATCAAAACAATCTGATATAAATAAGAAAGAATCCGATTTAAATTAAATATAGATACGATTTTGTGATTAAAAAAAGAAATCATGATTTTTGCCAACCGCTGCTCCTGGTCAACGCTGTAGTTATTAACTTTTTAGTAGATGAAAGGTAAAAGTTCCAACATTTTCAGTGCTATTTTCTCGAAAAATAATGAGCAGAAGTTTGGTTAATATAGATTGGTTAATATCGGTTCAAAATTCTTTAAAATGTAACTTCTTCAAGGTAAGATTTTTGCAAATTAATTAAAATTTAGCATTGCACCCAGAATTTTTATATACTTTTTAACCAACTTAAGGCGACAAGAGGGCATCAAACGTTCTTTTGTTTTTTTAACTTTTTAACCAATATTCTCGAGAAAATCGCATTGCTCTAATTAAAGTTTGGACCGATTTTCAAAACTTAAAAGCTCCTTGTCCCATTAAAATTAACAAAAAAAAATTTTTTTTCATTGCTTAAATATAGTTTGCATTTTAAATAAATTACAAAATAAAAAAAAAAAGAAAAAACTATGACACATAAGAAATTACTTTTTAAGGAAAATTGCATTATTAACCAAAAAAATTAGGAGCAGTAATTAACAACCCCCCCACTGCATACTTGCGTTAGGTGACGTATGTCTGTTTAGGCAGAGGGTGCGATTGTTCTTGTTTTCCAGTGGCGCCATCTATGGCCAAGAAAAATGTTTTAATGCTTGATTGAAAAGGAAGGAATGGTCACTAAGGTTGCTTTTAGAAAACCATTAGCGCAATTCACTATCACCGTCAATTACGACCACCTATGACTAAAGATAAGAATTTAGGGATTCATGCCCGTTTTCCTTCATTCAAAGGGGATTCAAATTGTTCTATATTTATTAGGTAGTCAAAAAGAAGTAATGGATCAAAATGCATCAAAAGAAATAATGGTTCAAATAATTACTTTGTAACATCTTCTAACTTAAATAACTACATTTTACTTCTTATAAACAGTTCAGTATGGACCCTCTATTCAAAACAAAAATAACATGGGGCTTATGGAATACAAATAGGACTTTATACTTGAGGTATTACAATAGAAGTTTCGCTGTTATAAAACTACTAAAGGGCGGATACTGTCTTTTTTCTTCTATTTTAAAGTTGTTTAAGCAAGACGCAATTGTTCTGCATAAAAAAAATTTTCTGCATAAAAAACAATTCGACAATTTATTTTTCTTTTATGAAATTACATGAAAAAAAAAACAGTTTTTTTTCTTCACCTTTAATACTTTTTGAGTTAATACTAAAATAATAACTGAATGTCCCATTTAAACAAATTTACTCGTGTCAAAAATGCAATAAATTTATTCAATTGAATTGAAAATCTTCACTTAAAATATTTCACAGTGGCAATTTGCATTTGTTAGGTGGAATAAGGTTTTTTATTTTAGTTAAATTTTGAATTATCTTTCTAATGTCAAATGTGTGTACAATATTTTCTGAACCATAAAACACATACTTTACACAAAATTTTAAAAATCCTCGGTATGAAATGCAAAATGAAACTGCTTCTTTAAAAAAATATTAAATAATGCTAAACTATCTGTATATTCAGTGAAATAAAACTGAAGAACTGTTGAAAAACCTTGTCATTAACTTGAAGTCAAAAATCATTTACAAGAGCGCATTGTTTAAATATATAATTTAAGAAAAGTAATATAGATTAGACAAAAATCTTTAATAACGTTGAAATATTTAGCAAGATCCATTCATTTATTTATAAAAATTATTCACTGAATAATCCCAAACTGGATAAGAAAGACTAAAACAGAACTTCTACAACAAATCCACGAAAAAATAAATAAATAAATAAATAACTAATGAGTAGAAAATAAAAAAAATATCAATTAGAAAATCTGAAAACCATCAATTTTATTTGATAAAGTTAAATTTATTATTTTAAATTAACAGAAATAGACAAAAGAAGCTTGAAAATGAATTTCGTGAAAATGCCAGACTCTAATGCTAGAATGACGCCAAGCAATAAATGTGAAGCGCTTGCTTTAGCTAAAGAAGAATATACAACGATTGAGATTGCTTATAAATGATGCAACGAAAAAAAAGGGTGGAAAATAAAAAAATAAGCAAATAAAAACAATGAATTAATTAATTTTACTTGTTAACAATCAAAACTATATTTTTCTGAATTAAAAAAGATGGTTGAAAGAACTATAAAGCGTAAGGAAGAATAACTACAACGCATCTGTAGAGGTAATGCAAGATTAAGGGACGAAATTTAAAAAAAAGGTAAATAAAAACAAATATTGACAGAAAATTCAAAATTTTGTTTGATGAAATAATTTTATTCGATTTTGAATTGAATGAAGTTGATAATGAAACGATAAAGACGAATAAAAATATGAGATACATTTATACGAAATCGAAAATATGTAAATGTAAAAATATGTCTAAAGAGATAGAAAGCATGCAATATGTATATAGAAAATATGTAAAGCTAAAGTAGAAAGATGGGCAAAACTAAAAAAAATAAAAATTATGAAAAACAAGTTAATAAAAAAAGCTAAAGAAGGAATCTTTACACCACACTTTATGAAGAAAAAATGTAAAAACAAAACAGACAATTTAGCCGCTAAGAAAAATAGTAATCAATGTAAAAAAAGGAAAAAGCAATAGGTACAATTTGTAGAATAAATTACATTGCTTACAACTGTTGTTTTGAAATACACCGAAGAGGTAAAACAAAAGAAACATAAAAAAAGTAAAGTAAAACATAAATGCAAAAGAAAACAAAAAAAAAACATGAATTTTGTTTCATAAAATTATAACCTTGAATTAATACGAATGGGTAAAATAAAGAGAAAGAAAAAATAATCTTTATAATACGCCTATTAAGAAAAAAAATACTGAAAAATTATAAATTTTGTACGATAAATATGTAAAATAAAATAAAATATGTAAAGAGAATATGTAAAAAAAAATGAATAAATGAAATTAAGAATAAATGAGATTAATGAATAAATGAATTTTGATCAAAAAGAAATGGTTAAGAAAATTATAAGGAATTAATTGTCTGCGGTCAATTACCGCCTTGTTTCAGAATATATAAAGGAATCAGAGATAGTTATGATAATGAACTAAGCTTCGAAGTACAATGATAATAAACTAAGATTAATGAGAACTTATAGCAATTAAAACAAAAACTTATAACAATTATTATTAATTTAAGAGCAAAACATGTATTTCAAAATTTAAGAATATTTGTCTCATTAGTTTGCTTGAAATGGAAGTAACTACATATCCTATAAATTCCATGTATATCCCTAAAATTACACATCTGCACCCTAATGTTATGGTATGAGCTTTGCATATAAGAAATTAAATTTAATATAAGGAATAATTTAAATATAAGGAATTCAGTGCAATTTTCATTTAATTATAGCTTTAAAGGGATTTAAAGTTTACATTAACTCTACATTCATTCTAAAATTATTTTCTATTAGCGACTGGATCAGGTAGAATTTTTTCGGTTTTAATAATTGGTCTATTGCTGATCTAGACAGTTTTTGATGCTTAAAAAAATCTTTACCTATATTTAAGGATATAGCCTTTTATAGGAAACAAAACAGCCGTAACTTTTTAAATTTACTTACATGAAATTTCTAAAATATCTTTTAATATGTTTGCAGCAGAAAAAAATTTTAAAGTCATAAGACTACATTTCGAAAACGATACCAATAATTTTAAAAAAAAGTATACAAATCTAAACAGGTTAAAAAATTTAAGCAGAAAAGTAACTGAAATAAAAACTTACCACCCCATAAAGTCGGACCACAGTTGTACTTGGTATCTTATTGCTTTTGTAAATCCGTTAGAGGCTCCTGCCTCCGTTATTCTGATGAATGCTTTGGGACTTTTTAAAAGACTATAGTTAGAAAAGTCGTTTGATCCTGGAAGTTTTTGCTTGAACATAGACCAGAGATCCAATTTCAGTTCCTTGATCACTTTGAGGACATTATCAATAGTCTCGACATCATTATATACCGCATTATAATAAATATGATGCAATATGCCATCAAAAGTAGTATCTGTAATGTTATTAGCTTTAGCACTATATGCAAGAAGAAAGCGTTTTTCGTCAACGTTGAAATATTCTGTTAAATATTCCGCCATTGCTCGAACTGTGATAGGTAATAGTAAGACCTAGTATACCCTGGTAAGACTTCCAGTTAGTAATAAGTTCAATGTTATTGAACTAGCTGCACCCTTATGCCTGCTAGTACGCAAGCGCATTGTACATTTTGAACTGGCCAATAGGGTAGAACGTCATATGCACGTCATATGTTAAAGTACGCATGTATGTCGTCACCTTTTCTAAAGACTAGGAGACTCCTCCCCAGTACTCTTGACTTACCACCCAAGTGGTTTGTACTTTTTCTTTTTTTCTTCTAAATTTTCAAAAAAGGAATATAAATAAAAAACAAAAAATAAATAAGAAAATTAAAAAAGAAAGAAAAAGAGACTGCTTATTTTCTTTCTAAAACACAAAACTGTTATAGTTTTATGTATAAAACTCCACGATTATTATGATTATGATTAATCGTAACGAAACTAAAGGTTACATAGATTTGTTAACTAATTAACCGTATTTGAAAAAAAAAAAAAATATTTAAGTCCAGAAATTCAAAATTTGTGACACAATAACCTAATGAGTCTGTGACATTTATCGGTAGGTCTTCTTCGTTTAAAAGCAATTTTTTTAAAAAATATTAATGTTAGATTTAATTAGGCTATAATTTTTTGAAAAAAAAAATTATTCGAATTATCTTACGACTATAAAAAGTTAATTTATCAATAAAAATAATATGAATACGGGACAAAATTTAGTTAAATATACTGACCTTAAAGAACTAAATTAAAAAATATTTTGGGATAAAAAATACATTGAAGGTATACGTTGAAAAACGCGATATGTTAAAGAACTCTCCTTTCACAAGAATCCTTCTATATCAAATTTATAGATTCTGAAGGATTAATTTTTTAATATAGATTTTGGACGTTTTATTGAAAATTCTACTTTTCAGAGACTTTCTGTATTGACGCACTTTTATATTTTATCAGAAAAAACGAAGGGTAAATGACTGGTTGCATGCTTCATTTAAGTCGCTCCTATTTTTATTGAATAATTATGTGGCGAGGGGTTATTTTCAGACTAACATGAGACCGTTTTGCCACATGAAAATATATTAAATATTTATTTAAAGATAAAACACACTTGACCAATTTTAATGAAGCAATGCTTTACTTAAATAAGAATTTGGTAACTCACAAAATTTTTTTATTGACACAACATTTTTTTCATAATATTTCTATATTATATTGTTCTATATATATATATTATTATTTTTTCTATATTTTTATATTATAAATAATTGCTCTGTAACTTTTTCTAACTTGAATTACTACATTTTAATTGCTATAAATGGTTCAGTATAGACCTTCTATCGAAAATAAAAATAACATGTAGCTTAAGGACTAAAGACATATATATCTGTATTATACATCTGTCATTATTGTAGGAGGCTCGCTGTTACTGAAGAGCGTAAACTATGTCTCTTTCTGGCAAATTAGATTGTAATTATTACGTGAATTTTATTTTTAGTTAAAAAAAGAAGTTTTATTTTTTGAAAGTACTAAACCACTTTTCTTTTCTATTGACAACTGCTCGGCTAGGATTAAATATTAATAAATAAATAAATAATTAGATAAAAATCAAAGAAATTCCGTTTTCACTTCAGATATGTAAATTGTTTATGAAAAAATAATCTTAGCTTTGAGCTTATGCTTTTAATTTATTAATTTCTTAAATTATATTTAAATTGCAATACGTATACTTGAATAATTAAAAAGTAAAGGTTGCTTAAACTGTTCCGTTTTTTTCCTATTACCTCTTACTTAAATAAAGAAATTATGTTAAAAAAAACTAATTGTTTTGGTTTAGAATTAAAATTTGTTAAATATTCAAATTCAATTTTGAATTATAATGAAAAGAAAAAAAAAACATTCATTTCTACCTCCCGTTCGGTTTTAACGTCACTATTTTGCTTGAATGAGAGTCAGAATGACAAAGGAATGAAGGGCTCATAACAATGTGTTTCCTGTACTCTTAACACTCCTTGATCAATGAGTCAGGTCAACTGGGATTGAATTAAAATTTTATCCAACAAAATTTTAAATGAAATATATATACATATGCATATGATTACTTGAGGGTTGTATTAATTATCTACTGATAACCATGAAAAACTCGAATGAATGGTCCTTAATAGTCTCTCGCAAAATAAACTCTAACTTTTTGACGATTCAGCAATCTCTGAACAGTATTTTCTAATTTTTAGGAATCTTTTCATCACGAAATCATGTGCTTTGTGACGAAATGCAAACTATCAAATGTACGACAAAAATTTGAAAAATGTTTTTCAAAACAGAGTATTTTTAAAGTCCAGAAGAAATTTTAGTAACAATTCAATTTTAACGCAAATCGAACGAATGTTTTTGCAATAACCAGTTACATTGATTTAAAGTTATAAAATCCTATTCAATATGTAATAAGATGAATGAATTTAGTTTTACATAATCTAAACCTATAACAGTCCCAAATAGTTGCCTTAAATCGGACATTATATCATTTATATACATCATACATGTCTCAGGATTCAAGGTTATAAAATCCTATTCAATGTGTAATAAAATGAATGAATTTAGTTTTACATAATCTAAACCTATAACAGTCCCAAATAGTTGCCTTAAATCGGACATTATATAATTTATATACATCATACATGTCTCAGGATTCAAAGTTATAAAATCCTATTCAATGTGTAATAAGAAGAATGAATTTAGTTTTACATAATCTAAACCTATAACAGTCCCTAATAGTTGCCTTAAATCGGACATTATATCATTTATATATATCATACATGTCTCAGGATTTAAAGTTATAAAATCCTATTCAATGTGTAATAAAATGAATGAATTTAGTTTTACATAATCTAAACCTGTAACAGTCCTAAATAGTTGCCTTAATTCGGACATTATATCATTTATATACATCATGCATGTCTCAGGAAATGCAAAAACTGAGTTTTTCCATAGTAAGATAAGCCCTAACTGCGCCTTTGTTTGTACTAGCAAGATTTAGTACGAGATTAAAATTGAGTTGCTTACATCAAAATAAAATAAAATTAAATTCCTCGATCAATTTTAACATAAATAACTTTAATTACATAGTTAAACAGATTTTATTACATTACTGAGGTGAGATACATTATTGTAAATTAATCTAAAAGAATATTTAGAAGGTTTTTATTCATTTGTCACTTCAATTTATAAAAAAAAAAGCGAAATAAGAAATGAAAATAGATAAAAATAAATGTAATGAAAAGAATAGCAGTATGTCGAACGTAAAAACAATTTATTATTAATTTAAAATAAAAACATCTATTACTTTCAAAATCAAAATAGACCGTATAAATAAGACCTAGAATCTTACATTAAACATAAAAAATAATTTAATTATGTAAAATTCTAGTGGCACAGTACAATTAATTATGTAGTTTGGTGTCGGATGTAAGCTATCAAAATTATGTAGGAAAACATTTTATTAATCAAAATTTTAAATGTTTCTACACATTTGTGCATGATAACCTGTCTTGTCACAGTTTACATTCATTATTATTTATTATTATTACATTTTCTATAATTAGCGTGAATTTAAAAAAAAAAAAAAACTGCACTTGTTAGAGATTCGTCTATCGTGGTTAAAATTTCAAATGATATATCCTTTTATTTCACAGCCTTTAACTAAACTGATACTTATAAGTAAAAATGAGTGATTGGTTGACTTTGCTGAGAAAAAATAATTTACCGATTTCATTGGATAGGAGCACAAAAGTTTTCAGAAGAAGAGTGCGAGAAAAAATCTATTATTAAATTATTATCAACTAATTTTTGGAGAATTTTATAAACTTTTTGTAAGCCATTTTGAATTGTTTTGTAAAAAAAGAAAAGGAAAATACCCCCAAAGCATCGGAACAAACTTGAACGATAAATGAATTCAATCCACGGACTAGAAGGAAAAAAAAACCCTTTCTTTTATAAAGAGAAGCAAATATCCTAACTCATACTTCCACCTATACCACAATCTTTACCTTTCCTAAACTGTGTAGTCCCTTATAGTGGAAGGGTGAAAATCGCGGAATTTTTCGGAGGCACAAGGGGTTTTTAGAGAGAAAAGCTTTCTTATTTACCTCTTATTCTCGTATGAAAAGGGATAAATCAGTAAAAAGTAAAGAAATTTAACTAGATAAAAATTAATCAAAGATTTTAAAAATAATTTTATAAAAAATTAGTATCATCTGCAATTTAAGATGTAAGCTTCAAAATATTTTGTTCGTTCAGTTCTCGTAAAATTATTCTCTTGACAACTCTATCTCTTTAACAAAATAATAATCTTATCTTCACTCTATAAAGTTGAGTTAAAACATTACCCGACTTTTCCGATTATTTTTCTCATGGGTGCTGTTCAAATGAGGAGGGTGCTAACTATTTAAAGATTATGCATACATATCGTGTGTTTTCGTGTTTTTTTTATGCTTAAATTTAAAGGGCATATAGCATTGCATTATCCGATTGAAAATGCTAATCAAACTGTAACATTTGCTTTTTTTTTAAGCCTTTGAAATAATAGTGGAGAAAAAATCAATACAGGGCGCTTGTAAAGTTCCGGACCCATTTTGATGTTTAATAACTCATAAATAAAAAAGATAGATTAAAATTAATAACATAGATGGTTAGATGAACTCAAAAAGTTTCATGACCCTTGTCAATGAACTTCCACGTGTGCCCCCTTCGTCGCACAGAGAATAGTCAATAGTCAATTTCACGCCAGGTAGCGGCAAGCATGTCGGCATTCACAGAGGCTATTGCTGTTGTAATTCTGGCTTTTAGGTCATCAATGTTCGACACGATCCTCCTGTAAACATTGTCCTTTATAAATCCCCAAAGAAAAAAGTCCAGCGGCGTTATATCAGGTGATCTGGGTGGCCAAGGAACTGGACTTCCTCGCCCAATCCATCTTCCTGGAAAATGGTCATGCAAAGAACTACAAACGATGATACTCCAATGAGGTAATGCACCATCTTGTTGCAAAGAGACATGTGACTGAAGCTTTTCTAGTTGTGGAAATACGAAGTTTTCCAACATGTCTAAGTATAGG